GTCTAAGGAAATGTAAGTGCCAAGTCTCCTTGGTAATGTTAACATAGTCCCCAGCCTGAGAGGTGATCAGATTATGATCATGTTGAATATGCACACAGTGCGAAACATTGACCATGAAGTACCTTTCACTGTACCACACGCTCCCTATAACTTGTACTTTTTGTCAGCATCGGTTTCCCTCTTGAAATGGTCAGCTGAATACATATTTTTGCACAATCTATTAATCTCACATTTCCCCAACAGCTGAAGAAGACTGATGCGATTTCACCTTGGTTTCTTGGGATCAAGGACAGACACACACACTGCCTGTGGTGCCACGGTAGATCTTCACTATGCTACTGCGAGAAGAATGACATGTGTCTCATTTTCATTCCTGAAGCTGCTTTGGGCAGAGTTGAGCCTTGATTAAAAAGCTGCTGTTTTGAGCCAAGTCGCTCTGTTTCTCAGCCTGTGTTTTTGCTCTGCCCGAGCTGAGTGTGGAACTGTTATGGCACGGGAGGCCAACTGAGCAAAAGGGGACTCTGGCTGTACTGGAGGATTAGACTCTGCTGTAGGACCAGGAGAGCAGCCCCGCAGCAACGCACATCATGCTGCGGGGACACTAGGCGCCCTGTTTAAGCCCCTTCTGCCTGATGCTCTTCCCCCCTCCCTCCTTTTCCTGCAATTTCATCAGTTTGGATGGTTAAGCACAAGGGCTACTTTGAAGGAGCCCACCGGAGGCTGTGGTTTGGCCAAAGCCAACAGACTTCTTGCCAGCTCTTGCTGATTTAGGATCCTTGTCCGCTGCTGTAGCCTTTTCTGCTGTGGTCTCCACTATGCTTAGTAGAGATTACAGGCATCGCAGGCGTGAAACTGGACCATTAATTGTGGTATAGCTGGTCACTTTCTCTCTGTCTCTCTTTTTTTTTTTTTAACTGTGAAGGATTGCTTTACAGTTTTCAAGAACTGTTTTTCTGTGCTCAAGGTCATTTTTGTAATTTAAAGCCCGTAAAGAAGAGCACTCCGGAGGAAGATGAAGCTGAGGAAACAGGTGACGGTGTGTGGAGGGGCCATATTCTGTGTGGCTGTATTCTCGCTGTATCTGATGTTGGATCGAGTCCAACATGACCCTGCAAGGCGTCAGAATGGTGGGAACTTTCCACGGGTAAGAGTGTTTGCTGTAGTGATAACTGTAGTAATAAGTTTAGATTTTCTTTTGCATATTTATGTTTTGGTACACCAGGAGCAGAAACATATTGTATTCAACTTTTTGTCTCCTGTAAGCCAAAGTTAAATAGTATTTATTTTTTTGCTTGTGTGAATGTTCACATGTAAACGGCTGTGGCCAATCATATACTTACTGTCTGCAGATATCTTGTGTCGACTGAAAAAATTCTAAATCTCATACTATTTGTTACTTTGACTAAATGAGGAGATTTTTATTTACAGATTGTCAGATGTCTAGTGTTAGGCTGAAATAAAGTTTGTTCAGTGAATCAGAGGAAAAGAACGCGAGTTGGATCAGCAGATGTTTTGTAATGTTATACAGCTGTGACTTTTATTATGTTCCTACTCTGTTTTAGAGCCAAATCTCAGTTCTGCAGAATCGGATAGAGCAGCTGGAGCAGCTCCTGGAGGAAAACCATCAAATCATCAGTCACATAAAGGACTCTGTGATGGAGCTCACAGACACAGGAGCCGTGTCTCCCAGTGGCCACCTGCCATTCAGAAGTGCCAACGGTTCCTGGGTCCTACCCTTCGACGGCCGCCCTACTTTCCTCGCTGTCAAACCCCAGGATTGCCAGTTTGCTGTAGGCAGCCGTGTTCAAGCAGACGTTCAGGTGAGCTGTTTAAATGACTAGTTTTGTGCTGGTGCTGTTGTTGCTACGCTGTATTAGTGAGCAAATGACGGGTTTATGTTTCAATTTAGATGCTGGATGTGTACACACTCCTGAAGTTTGACAACCCTGATGGCGGCGTGTGGAAACAGGGCTTTGACATTACTTATGAGCCCGACGAGTGGGACAGTGAACCGCTTCAAGTGTTTGTGGTCCCTCACTCCCACAATGATCCAGGTGAGTTGCGACGGCATTTTCACACACAGTGAAAATGTCTCACAGCAAGTTTATAAAAATGCTCTGATCAGTGTTTCACAGCCTAAGGACAATAAACCCCCCCCCCCCCCCCCAAGACTGCATCTTGTCTGACAAGCCAGCTACTGTGTGGCCTTACCTGAGTGGGAGGCTAGTGATAGGGCCGCAGAAATCATTGAGAATGTGATTCATACTCGTTATTATTAGCATAATGTTGACATGATTGATGGCTTACCCACAAACAATGAAATTAGAAAGATATTGGCATTGGGAAAATTGCAGCTATTTATAGGTGGCATTGGCTGAGATTCTATTTTAGACTGACACTTCCATTAAACTTATTTACCAGCCTGCCACATGCTTGCTGATTTAACAGTTATTGATATGTTGACAGGCTGCAGAGAATTGCACATTTTGTCAAACTGTTTTAGTCAACAATTGGAATAGGTTTCAAATTTGCTGCAAAGTTGTTGTTTTTTTTCTCTCAAGTAAATTTTTTTTGGTGCCACTTTCCCATGTCCTGTGTTCATAGACATAGAGTTTTTGTTACCAGAAATCACAGTGAAGACATGTGAAAGCAGCTTTATTGATATAAGGCTCATATCTCTAAATGCAAAGAAGGGATTTTGAGGGTTTAGTCAGATACATGGGGGAGACGCCAGTGGCTTGTGAGAGAGTGCAAAAGGATGTGGAACTTTGATCTCTGTAAACTAAATTAGCCTGCAAATAGGTAAGATAAATATTTGACTGGATATTTCTAGGCTGTGACACTCGGCATCACAAAATAAAAGTGCAAGCAATTTTAGTCACTTCCTTTGAAGCCACTCTGTAAACAGCTTTCTGAGCAGAACAGGTCTCTTTGAATAAAATATGATTTGTTACAGCGCTGCTCTGTCTGTTTACCTGCTCTGCCTTTTTGTCTGTATCAGCCGGCGAGATAAAGGGGTAGCGGTGGAGGCGTGTTGCCTAACACAGCCCAGTTTGTGGTGGACAGGCTGTTTTGCCAACTGTTGTGCACATTTCTTAGTTGTATCTTGTTTTATTAGGTTGGATCAAGACTTTTGACAAGTACTTCACAGATCAGACGCAGCATATTCTAAACAACATGGTGGTGAAGCTGGCCGAGGATCCTCGCAGGAAGTTCATCTGGTCTGAGATTTCGTTCTTCTCCAAGTGGTGGGAGACTGCAGACGTACATAAACAGGAGGCCATGCGCAAGTGAGTCACGGCAGTTCTGCCTTTTAGTTCTCCTCCAGAATCTGAGGGCGATTGGAGACAGTGTTTTAGACAATGGATGGTATCTGCTGGCACATTGTGGTTGCTCTAAAAATAGCTTGTTATCTGGTTAATGCGACTCTACCTCTTCAGGGCTGGATTATTCTCACCTTGCTTTCTTAATCCTCTCTCTTCAACAGACTGATCCTGGGAGGGCAGCTAGAGATTGTGACAGGAGGCTGGGTAATGACGGATGAGGCCAACGCTCACTACTTTGCCATGATAGATCAGCTCATTGAAGGACATCAGTGGCTGGAGAGGAATCTAGGTGCACAATCCATTATTTTCATTTAGCTTTAGTCGTTAAGAAGCTTCCATCTGTCTTTTGAAATGTTACGATTTTTTGCCTTTATTCCAGTTTTTGTCACTATATCCCTCTCAGTGCTAATGGTCTGAGCTTGTCATCCCAAATGCAGGAGGTGTAGCCTCTGGCTGGCTGGTGAAATACTTTGTGCAACCTTCAGCACTTTTTGCTGGTTTGCAAAAAGATGCGTTCCTTTCTTTTAACTGAAGTTCTTGCTTCCTGCTAACCAGGTGTCATTCCTCGCAGTGGCTGGGCAGTAGACCCGTTTGGTCACAGTGCTACTATGCCCTACTTGCTGAAGAGGGCCAACCTGACCAGCATGCTCATCCAGAGGATCCACTACTCCATCAAAAAACACTTTGCCTCCACCCGCAGCTTGGAGTTTATGTGGAGGCAGGCCTGGGGTGAGCGAAACAGAGCCAGAGATTGCATTTGACTCATGGGCTTATTTTTACTGAGCTCGTTGGATAATGAGTCATGCCACTTGTTATGGCCGTTGAAAGGAAATTTTTAGGACAAATAGTGTGTAATAGGTTGAGAAGAGCTATCTTCATTGCTATTTCTTAATGAATTGGTTCTGTGCTGAAGCTTTACTGTCTGTTTTTCTCAGAAGAAATCCTCAAATATTGCACTGCTTTGTAACGGAATGTTGTCATTTACTTAATGCTACTTTTTCTTGAATGATTTCTGACATTCCTCAGAGAACACAGTGGGCGTGAACGTAAACTTCCAACAAGTTATTTTGCACTGATGTGTATCTGTGACCATAAACACCATCCTTAAACAGAGCAGGACATGCCTTTTAGTGTATTTCATGCTGGTGTTTTGAGGCTACTGACAATATTGGACGTCTCTGGAGCTAATGGCTTCTTTATCCCCCTTTGACAGACACTGGATCGAGCACAGACATCTTTTGCCACATGATGCCGTTCTACAGCTACGATGTGCCTCACACCTGCGGGCCCGATCCAAAGATCTGCTGCCAGTTTGACTTTAAGAGGCTACCAGGTGGTCGGATAAACTGTCCCTGGAAAGTGCCACCGAAAAGTGTGGGGGAGGCCAATGTAGCAGAGAGGTGAGCCCCTCCTCTGTGCACATACAAAGACTTTGGTGTAGAGAACACATTTTTGGGGATGTCTGTTAGACCAGTATGCCAGCTCAGGTCAAATACCAGCTGAAAGGCTTATTGCAGACGTTTCTGTGGACGGATTAATTAATAAGATTGTCAGAAACTTAAGTGGCGCCGAGTTTGGTATCTGAATTATTTGAGGCACTTTAAGATACACTCTCTCCTTCCAAAATTGTAAAGGTGAGGAATTGTAGGTTGTTTTTTTTTTAATGTAAAAAAAAAGATACTGGCCCTTGTTAATTTTGTGCGTAGTACTGTTACTCAGCTGTAGCTGCTCACACATACATACACAGTATTTCTGGTCAGTCTTCTCCGTCGGTCCCCTACAAATAAAATAAACCTGAACTTGTGCCAGAGACAACAGCGAGAGTGGGTGGAGGACCGGCTGGAGACAGACTCAGACTGCAGATAGCCCTGTAGTCACATTAAGCAGCTTTTAAAGGACCCAAAGAACTTTCCAGAGAACATATTTCAATGGCTGATGGCAAATACCCCCAAGGTTAATTTGATTGTTCTCCTTCCAAGGTCGGTAATTTCATTGAAAAATGATGTATGGAAACGGAAGGTTTGATGCCAAGAAATGTCTTTAGTTTTATCTCTCTTTTTTTTATTTTTTCCTCTCCTCTCTTCCTCTTCAATCAGGGCTCAGCTGCTCCTGGATCAGTACCGTAAGAAGTCCAAACTCTACCGCAGCAAGGTGCTTCTCGTCCCTCTGGGAGACGATTTCCGCTATGACAAGGCCCTGGAGTGGGATCAGCAGTACATCAACTACCAGAAGTTGTTTGACTACATGAATTCTCACCCCGAGATGCATGTACAGGTGACAAAATAATTTGTCTGCTGTTACAAATCACATTGCCAACTTTGGATTTTTGGATTGTTCTCTTGCATCTCAGCGTGCGATGTGTCAGATACGAGTGTATAACCTGACTCGCGATAATAAATCATGCAGTGGTATTTTAACCTGCTGACAGAACAAAGAATCTGTCACATCTTGATATTCGGTTCAGAAGATGCAGGGTGAGATGAGAGGTGCATGCATAATAATGAGAGCTGTTTGGTTCTTCTGTTCAGCTTTTTATCAACAACTCCTCTGTCATCTGTCTCCAGGCTCAGTTCGGGACTCTCACAGACTATTTCAGTGCTGTGTACAAAGCGCACGGAGTGGCCCAGGGATCCAGACCTGCAGACTACCCAGTGCTTAGTGGAGATTTCTTTGCCTATGCAGACCGTGAGGACCACTACTGGACCGGCTATTTCACCTCTCGGCCCTTTTACAAGAGCCTTGACCGTGTGATCGAGTCGCACCTCAGGTGTGGTTGGTTTAATCACACATCAATGCCAACTGACGGCCACAACCTGCTGTGTATTAGCTTATATTTTTATTCGCTAACAAGATGTAGTTGTGCCTCTTGAGGTTGTGGTACATACGTCTACCTTCAAAATCCTGTAGTCAAATCAAAGTGACAATCCAGATCAGGATACAGTTGGAACCTACTCTCACTCCCAAGTGGATAGACAAGTTTTAAATGCATGTTAGTCAACAACTAAGTAAGTTTATAATGCTCACTGATGCTGTGTAAGGTTTCACTCTAGTTTCATGTCTAATTTCTGACACATTATAAAAACAGCCAGTATTGCAAAATACTTTTTCCAAACGATCAACAGTTGTTTCAAAAAAATGTAATAATGTGGACACACCTTTATCTGACTAAATGAAGCTACCGCATCTAATATCAAATCGCTTTTGCTGCAGAAATTGTTCTTGTATCTAATGTTCATTTCCCCCACTTCTCGGTGGTAACTCGTTGTCCTTCAGGGGGGCAGAGATCCTCTACAGCCTGGCTGTTGCAAATGCTCGTCATGCGGGAATGGAAGGACGCTACCCCGTTTCAGATTACGCCCTGCTAGTGGACGCGAGGCGTTCTGTTGGCCTCTTCCAGCATCATGACGCCATCACTGGCACTGCCAAGGAGAATGTTGTCATTGACTATGGCACCAAGTAAGAAGCTGGGGTTTGGAGGGAAGCGACAATGTGGATTAAATAGATTAGTTCTTTTAAATATGTAATTTTATATTGAAATAGAAAAACTCTAGCACCCACTTTCTAGTTCTCTGCAGCTATTTTATACCTTCCCTTTCAATACTATGAATCAAAATACCAATGGGACTCATGTGACTGCTGCAGTCCGCCATTGATTCCACCTCCTCTTCTCCAGATTACTACGTTCACTCATTGGCCTGAAGAGAGTAATCATCAATGCAGCTCATTTCCTGGTTATGAAGAACAAAGAATTTTATCGTTTTTACCAGACGGAGCCCTTCCTGGAGACGGTGAGAGGAAACGTGCTGCGACACTTCTGCCGCCATTTAATGAACTTTTTGAAAAACCTGTTTATTTCTGCCTAATGGACTATTTTCTGCATTTCCTGTTTTGTATTGTCCTTTTGTAGGATGACAGGCGTGCTACTCAGGACTCTCTGCCTCAGCGCACTTTAATTGAGCTGGACCCAGCGGGGCCGAGGTATTATCTGCATCCCCTTGCGTCTTTCATTTCCACTGCCTCCACCCTCAGCCACTCCTCCACCATCCTGTGCTTATGATTGTGTTTTCCCTCTCTCTGCCAGGTACGTGGTTCTCTTCAACCCCATCGAGCAGGAGCGGCTGTGTGTGGTGACAGTACTAGTCAACACAGTCAGGGTGCGGGTGCTTACTGAGGATGGACAGACCCTCCCTGTGCAGCTGAGTGCTCAGTGGAGCTCTGCTAGTCAAATGAGTGCAGAAGTATTTGAGGTGAGATTCTGAATTCATGAGGCACTGCTGGTGTCTGCGTAGTGAAACTGGCATATCACTTGCACAGCAGCAGTGTCTGCACAGTGTCAACACTGGGTTCTTTCAGCCACAGTACTGCTGTGCACTGAGAATCGTTCTGGCACCGCTCATGGCCCAGTACAGAGCCATTAGTTGGGTGGGAAGAAGAAAAGACTTAAAGGCTCGCACATATGTAGAAAAAGCTAAAACCCACCCAGTCTGGACAGGTTGTTAGCTGGTAATGCACAGGAGATGTTTGGGGGCTGATCGATTGTAGCTGTTGAAGGGGAACTGCATTGATTCACACATATTTCTAAAAGCCTTTTGTGGTGTTGGTTCAGAGTGGGGAAAAATACAAGCTTGAAAATGAAAGGAAATCTGGAAATGGGTGATCCTGCCAGCATCAAGCAGAGGTTAGCTGCTGCTAACTCGATGCGGCTGAATGTCCAACTGCTCTGGCCGTGGCTGAGTGGCACTGTGGCTAGTGTAGGCGCCAGGCTAATGCACGGGATAAAAAAATAAATACATTTTGGTTTTTAAACTTATTAATGAGCCTAACGGTGCTAAATTGGCGGATTATTCTTTTATTTAAGCTTCACTAGACATTATGTGAATGCACAAAACAAAACTAAACAACCAGTACTGATGCTGTGTTGTAAGGGTGCTGGTTTGTCCACATATCAAAGTTCCCTTGAGACGATAAACCCCAGACTGCTCTCAGTGTGTGTGTGAACACTCAAACTAGAATGATTTTTTTTTTTTGAAAGACTGGCTCAGAGAGAGTGTATATATTCTTTCTTCGTTTGATGTCTGCCTGCAAGCAGCAGTGTCACTTCTCAAAGAACAAACAAAAAAGAAAACCCACACTTACCGAACCAGCTCAAGTAATGTATTGAATCGACAGGAGATTAATTTATTTCTCAAATAAAATTCTCTCTCCACCCACAGAAAGCAATGAATTTATATGTAACAAAGAAATACCAACAGTTTCATTAACACAGTCTCATCACATTTTAATTACAGCACCCTTGTTGCCAATGTGTAAACGCGTTTAACTTTTAATGAATGCCTCGTGGTCAACACTCGCTGCTCTATTTAACAAGGAAAATGAAGCCAGGGCTGTAAAACACAAGCTTTTTGTATATGTGACATTTTTGCGCAAGACTAATTTATTCATATCCAACCGTTCTTCGACCTTTTGTTCAGGCGACGTTCATGGTTCGCCTGCCGCCTCTGGGTCTGGCTGTTTTCCATCTTTACGACTCTCCAGACTCGCCCTTGACGCTCCGCTCCAACACGCTGCTCAGGCTGCCCGGTCGTGGAGTCACTGCCCGGGCCGCAGACCCGCTTCCTGTCCGCTCTCAGGAGTCCGACCCTCAGACCTTTTACATCAGCAGCCAGTATCTCACACTGGGCTTCTCTGGATCTACAGGCCTGCTGGAGGTTTGTGATTTATCTGCTCTTACATCTTACTACTGTATCTCCTTATCTGTTTTAACTTTGATCTACTTGAAGAAAAACCATGAGCTGAATTTCCCAGTAAACCTGGGTTGTTTGATCACAGTGAACATCCTTTCATCTTTCTAGCTCTGTTTTTTTAATTCCCTCTCTTCCGCGGTATCTGCAGAGTATAAAATGCAAGGATGATCCTCAGGAAGTGAAGGTTCAGATGCAGTTCATGGTCTACGGCACTCGCCCCTCTAAAGACAAAAGTGGAGCTTACCTGTTCCTACCTGATGGAAAAGCAAAGGTATTCTCTCAGCTGTTGTCACTGAGTCATGCTGGGAGCTCGAGGCAGGGAGGCAGACCGACCTGCGTGCTGCTTCATCTTTTATTTTCATTTTTAAAACAACACAATAAACAGGAGTGTAGGGGGATTAGTTGGTTTAACGTATCTTGCTACTTACTCTCTTGGTGGCTCCTTCTATTCCTCTCTCCATCTTTCTTCCTGTTCCATTTTTTTTTCCTGATCATGACTCCACTTTCTCCCCACCTGCTTTCAGCCCTACAACCAGAAAGAGCCGCCTGCGGTGCGCGTGGTGGAGGGGCCACTCTTCTCTGAGGTGGTGGCACACTACCAGCATTTTCAGCAGAGTGTTCGCATCCACAATGTGCCAGGTAAGAGACTCAAAACCTGCAGAATGGAATAAGCGCTTGAGGCACCAGATTGTGCAGTTAGGGACTTTTTTCCTGCTGCCTTTTTTTTTTTTTTTTTTTTTTTTTTTTTTTTTTTTTTTTTTTTTTTTTTTTTTTTTTTTTTTTGATGACTTATTATTTTTCCTGCATTTACAAATCTCATCTTTCCATTTACTTTGAGTTTGTGGTTTGAGTATCTGGTTTTGTGTTTCCAGGGGTGGATGGCTTGTCTCTAGACATCACCACCATGGTGGACATCAGAGATCAGACCAATAAGGAGCTGGCCATGCGACTGGTCACTGACATCCAGAGTGGAGACGTCTTTTACACAGACCTCAACGGCTTCCAGGTCGGTCCCATCCTGGAATAACAAGTTAACTTTCCCAGTGCTAATAAAGATAATGCTGCGAGTCTGACATATTGCTTGGTTGGTCTCTTCTTGCAGATCCAGCCCCGTCACCACTACCTAAAGCTTCCCTTGCAGGCCAACTTCTATCCCATGCCGAGCCAGGCGTACATCCAGGACAGCCATCACCGCCTCACACTGCACACAGCTCAGTCACTGGGTGTCAGCAGCTTGGAGAGTGGTCTGTATCTTAGCACATTTTATTAAGCTATCTCTGCACTTGACTCTTTTTCTTTATGCACTGGCTCTAGCCTTTTTATTGAATAGTATTGAAGCCCTTATCTCTCGTTGTCTTCCCTCAAGAGGTTGTCAGGAGTGCAACACGGTTCATAACCCTCACTGAGCTAATCCTTTTAGCCTTGTTATGTGAATAATGGAGGCATTCTTCAGTGACGCATAGTTCAAAGTCTTCATCGATTGATGTCTGAAAGTTTAATACACAGACTTTTTATTAACGTTGGTGTCCCCGCTGCTTCTGCTGCTCCTCCTCCTTCACAGGCCAGCTTGAAGTGATCATGGACCGGCGGCTGATGCAGGATGATAATCGTGGGCTGGGACAGGGCCTTAAGGACAACAAGAAGACAGCCAACCGCTTCCGCCTGCTGCTGGAGAGGAGATCTATGGGTAACAAGGTCAGTAAGGCAACAGTGGAGGCGTTACTGAAGCTGGGCAAGCACTGTTGAAATAACAGGGCAATCATATCAGACTCTTTGTGAGCTCTGCACTAGGTTCTTGAATATAGCAGTTTTGTCCTTCATTCTGTGCTTATTAACACCTTTTTTCATATTTTTTTTCCCCTGTGCTCATTACCACTGCATCTGTCTTTTGTTATCTCCTCCACCTTCTAATTCTGTTTTCAATTTTTCTCTTTCCACTCCATTACCTTCAGCTCGATGGCTTTTTTGCCAAACTCTCCTCCTTGTTTAATTCTTTCCTCTCCAAAATCTTGACTGACAGAGATCAAGAGGTAATGTTGCCTTGGCAACAGTGAGGATGCTTGTTAGCCCGTGTCTTAGTTTGTGCTGTAGCTCCTGTTCCTATTTTTTTGCTTCCATCCACCTCATAGATGGTTCATCTTTATGACAACAGCATTGAAAGTAACAAATGATGTCATTTATCAAGGAAATGAATGCCATTATAAAAGAATAACTGCCATTGGTTGCACTTTTATCATTAGAACTGCTGATGGTACTTGGGTATGATGATTTTGCCCAGGTTTGCCACAAAACATCAGATACATAAATTTAAAATGTGAGATTGCAGTGCTGTGCCTGTAACAAACCCAGTGTAGATTGAATAGCACTGTTGGGACTAGAATTAGAAAAATACCTACTCTAACAAACTATTTGGAGCCCATTACTCACGTAGTAGCAAAAGTGTGTGTGTGTGTGCGTGTGTGTGTGTGTGTGTGTGTGTGTGTACAGACGAGCTACTGATGTCATAAAAATTGCACTGCCACTTACAGCTGTAGTTTAAATCTGTCTTTGCACTCCTCCAGATGGTGGACAGTGCAACAACTAGCTTCCCATCTGTACTCAGTCACATGACCAACGCCTTCCTGAACCATGAGGTCTTGGCGCTACCCGTCCTGCCCAAAAGACGTGGCATCCCTCCTCTGCAAACCTTCGCCCCTCTCAAGTCCGTGTTTCCCTGCGACCTCCACCTGCTGCCTGCAGAGCCAGGTGATCACACACGGACAATAACACACAGTCATTTTGGCGTTAGGTGTTTTATATGAAACTGACGCAGGTCTCTTGTGGTGGTTGCGTGAGCAGCAGGACCTCCACTCTCCATCTCCGTACACAGCCTTGATTCTTCACCGTCTGGCGCTTGACTGTGCCCTGGAGCCTCAGAACCTAGGCTTCAACTGCACCACCACACAAGGACAGGTCAGAGTAGAAACACACTCCCACCGAAGCAAAACCAAACAAACAAAGAAAGGGACACTCCTCTGTTTTCCATTACATTTACCTCAGTATTTCTGTTCTCTGCTACCTTTTGTAGTGGGAAGGTGAAATTCATACAGTACATAAGCTATCTGCTCAGTATGCTCGATGTTCATACTATTTGTGTATTTGTGCTGTATAACCTTTTCTTTTCCTCTCAGACAGTTCTGTCTCCCAGACACTCCACAGACCCAATGTCTGTTGACACACACATAGCCTGTTACCTACACAGCCCAACTGTCAGGCCCCTGCTTGCCTGTCTAGAAGATACCTATGAAGGCCACATACCTAAGACACATTTTTGATTGGTTCCAACTAGTGGGGTGATAGTCGACCGATGTTATACAAAACCTGACTGTAACGTCTCTCCTTTGTGACTTACTGGCTCTTTGTACTGAGTGTGATCTCCTGATCACCATAGTGGTATTGTTTTATGCTGTTGACTGATTTGTTGGATAAATTACAGAAAGACTACCTGAGAACCTCTTATTGATTTCCACGACACCGTTAACCTCTACCCCAACACATTTATTTCACAGCACTAGCTATTGGTTAGTTTCCAGAACTAGATTTGCAAACTTAACATAAGGTCAGTTTATAAACTATGATGCATTGTGACAGATTATATTACTAAAAGTATATAAAGCAGTTAAAATTACCTCCACCTCAAACAACAAAAAATTGAAGTGCTGCTTAAGTCTTAATGCACCTATAATAAAGCCTCACGGGGAACATTTTCTACATAATGACTACTTGTACTGCTCATACTTTTAGGTTCATTTTGTTGCAGTTCTATTACCTCTGCACTTTTACTTAAATGAAACTTTGAATGCAGTATTTTACTTGTAATGGAGCATTTTTAAATTGCCTTCTGGCTGCTTTTACTTTCTAATGTTTTTGACTCTCATTCCCTTCTCTCCTCTGCAGCTGAGTGTATCAGGACTTTTCAAGAACCTGGACCTGCAGCTGCTCCAGCCCGTGTCTCTGACCCTGATGCACTCCGGCATGCCTTTGGCCAACGACTCCGTCATTATCCTGGATCCCATGGAGATCTCCACCTTCAAGCTCAAACTGCGCTAAGAGCCGCCCGGACTAAAAGGAGCAATAATAAAAGCCAGCGGACTCCTTGGACCAACAACCAGGCCCATGTCGGCCACAGACTGGCAACAGAGAGGTTTGGGTCTCACTGTTTTGTCAAGCAGAACCACAGACACTAGTGCTCGGAGAGCAATGCTCCACTGTAACAGGACTGACTGCACAGCAGGGGGCAGGCGATAGCTGTTACTGTGGATGTCTCAGAGAGCAGCCGAACCCAGGTGAACTTGGAGCTGTTCCGACAAAAGAGAGACTGCCAGAGTTGCTTGTCAGATGTGACTGGGTATCTGTTTATCTCTGTAATCGAAAATGAAATCTCAGATAGTTGTGCTTTGTAAGAGCTCGTCTCTTTTTCTATTTTGGCTCTATCCTGGACTGAACTACTGAATGTAAATATCCCAAATGACGGGGGAGGGGGAGCCTGGACTCTTACCATGTCAGAGTGCAACCCTCCAAAGCTTTATGTGGTGTATGGGGTTTTAATTATTATTTTCTTTTTCATGTATGCAGCGAAGAAAACGCATCATAGCAGTTTGTTTTTGTACCCATCAACCTGATGTTGACTGGCTCTTTTTTTTTCTTTCTCCCCCAACAAACTCAAATGCAGCAAAGAGTATTTGCGGTCGCTTTATCTCAGCTCAGCAGGATTCCGAGGCTGCTGCTCTTTAAACTGTCGTACGTCTGAGTCCAAGAGTTCCAGTGTAGTGGGTCGCTACACAGCAACAGTGTGCTTATTAATCTCATGGGATAGCTGTTCACCTTGTCTGCTGTTTCTGTGTGTAGATAGTCCGGAGACTATCTTTCTCTCACTTATTTTTGTCCCTTCACTGAGCTTCCTCTTTCCTGACGAGAAAACTGTGGAACGTCTTTGCCTTTCAAACCCCGTCTTGTCAGTCCTGTGCTTGTGCTTCACTGCTGAGTGGGTGGGTTTATGTACCATACTGTATGCAGTAGAAGACTAGACAAAGATTGAGCCTCATATACCATACAACAGATATATCAGTGTATATATGCGTGTGTGGCGTATGTTATGAATACTTGAGGTTTTCTTTGGTAGTGGGGGGGGGTGGTGTATTGGAGTTAGTGTACACCATCAGGGACCATTGATTGTGCTGTTAGGTGTCATTGATCAGTTTGTGGGTCATTGTTACTGGAAAAAGAGTTTTGTTGCCTTAAAGGGTCAGTTCAAACAAAATTACACCCAAGTCACAAAAACAAATGTCTTTCTTACGTCTAGTGGTATACAAAGTTTTCAAGTGTGTGTGTGTATGTGTATATATATATTTTAATCTTGTTCACACAATATTTAATTGGATTAACAAGGTTTAAAAATAAAACAGCTTTGGACTTTTCTAGTATGTAGTCATGCATAGTTTGAACTTTCTTAAAGCTTCCACCCATAAAACGTCACAGCTACAGTGGAGACTGCCAGAGTAAAGTAGGGAACTCTTTTCTGCAGTTGGTTGAACTGACCCTTGAGACATAAATTGGGTTCAACCATACATAAGGATATTCAGCACAGAAGAAGCAGTTTTTAATTTCAGCCCTGCAGTGCTTCTTATCCTGAGGCCATCTCCAGACACCTTTCCTGGTGTGTCGCTGCGGAGGGTGTTGTTCATCTGACCAAACATTCCCACGGTTCACCTGTGTAGCACTTTGTCCTGCATCACCATCTCACCATGTTCTACTGTGTCCCGTCATTTTATTAACTTTCCACTGGAGGTTTGCTCATTGTTGCTCTCCTCTTCTTACCGGATGTCGGACCCACCGCAGTTATCACTGCCAGCAATGCCGATCCCCCCCCCCCCTTGTCCAGGTGCAGTTAACATTTGTCACACCAGACTTGTTTGCATTTTGAATCGCATGTTCTCCTGTAGCCTTATAACCTTGTCATAACCTTCTGTCCTGCTGTTTCCGTGTGCGCCTGAGTCTCTGTGTGAATGGCTTTTTTTTTTTTTTTTAAATAAGTGATACCTGTTGTAGCGCTGTTTTTGTTAATTCAGAGGTAATATATGAAGGCAGTGACTTCTTTTTATTCATGATGGATCAAAACTGCAGTAGAGTTACAAAAGAGATGGAGTAAATAAAGATAAGTTTGTTTTTAAAAAGTTTGTCCTCAAAGTTATTATAATTAATGAATCCTTTTCTAATGTGCTAGTGCCTGGTGTATTTTCTGGTTGTCTCTCTGCATCAGTAAAGAGCTTGATTAATCCTCAGTCAGTAGGGGGCAACGTTAAGTCAGTGTGAGCAGTAGAGTCCAGGGCTTCACCTGCTGTCAGACACATCACTCACTTCCAGTTCTTCACCTGTCGGTGGTTGGTCTCCAGGTAAACATGGATCAGGGACACACACACAAATAAAATGTGTTGCCAGGGACGCCTGAGGCCAGAAAGTGATCAGTGCTCTGTATAGGTGGAGGGAAGCCTTTGTAGGCGCGTGTGTGTGTGTGTGTGTGTCTGCTGGTGGTGCTATGATGCTTGTGGAGGCACTCTGGGGCCACTCAGCCTCTGCATTTTATTCTAGACTCTGTTGGTGCCAACCATATTTCTCAACATCTCCTGCAATGTCAGGGATGGGGGGCAGACAGTCTGCTTTAGCATCAGACACAAATAATGTTTGGCCTTGTGGAATAATGGGAATGGAACCTCAGCAACCAGCTGATCTCAGTGTGAAATCAGCTGATGTGGATCTGATTTGTGTATGTTGTATTAATTAATCTAACATTTCTTGTTGCCAAGTCTAGTTAGCAGGCAGCATTGTACAGTACATGGCAGCTAATTAATACAAGCTAAAGGGCATCCAGAAAAAAGCAATGAAAGGAGCTCACAGAACCATGTAATGAATGAGGAGATAAAAGCCTTTCAGAGTCATCCACTCTTAACTATATGATCCGATTCGTGCACGCGTTTATTTTCGCACATACAGCATTTATAATGCAAAGCATGTTGCATCCGAGGGGCACTGAAATGTGCAGCGATTTCTCCCGGCAGATCTAATTATGGGCCACAGAATGAATGTACCTTCACCCATGAACTCGGTTACATCCTGCCACTGTAAAAGGTGAAACAGGGGAAAGCTGCTAATGAACAAAGCTGATACAGGCTGGCATTGTTTTCCTGCATGCGTGCAAACCTTTTTTATTTATTTTAATTTAATCTCTGAGGGGCCTGCCATATTGAAGCTTGAGGAAAAAAGGTTTCTTTCAGGCTTTTTGTCTAGACACTAACTGGATAGCAGGCAGAAGACAGTAAAGCTCAACGCCTGGAGTGAAGGAAACAAACTGGCAACAATGATATATGTTCATAAAGAAAAGATGAACCATCTGCTCTCGTGTGGCGTTTGTGTGGAAGGGGCTGAATTTAAGATGCGTAAACCCCTAAAAATGTTGAAATCTGGCAGCAAAGACAGTAAATCTATGCAACAGCCAAAGTCATTTTTATTCCATCGTGAAACTGATCTCCACAACATCCACTGTCAGTTAAATAAGAAAGGATATAAAACAAACGTAGAAAATGCGATACAAGATCTGTTCCGTTATTTCTGGCTTTTAGATCCAGAGTCTTTGATTCAGCTTGTGTAGCGACAGGTCTACACTGTTATAGATTGGACATGAAGCTTGACTGCCAATGTATGGTGCTCACAATAGAAAGAGAAGATCCGAGATCAATATGTACTCTGTGGGGAAAATGAAGAGAAAATGATCATATTTCTTACCAGTATCAATCAAGTAAAAAAACGTTGTAAGGGTCAGCCGAGCGGCTTTGGGCCAAGGGTTTTTTTTTTTTTTTATTTCACTCAAAAGTGTGTTTTCTTGTAGAAGTCAATAAGATTTTTGTGACTGATATCTCAGATACTGTATGTCTGTGCTGCGGTGGTTTGATTGGAGACAGCATCTATCACAGTTTTCTGCTTCTCAAACTGCCTGCAGGATGTTTTATTATGCCGTTGCAGTAGGCTGCAGAAATCTTCAATCTAACGCATTCTTGCTAGTAATAAACAGCGCGTCAACTTCATGATCTCTGGCCCACTGTCTGACATAAATATAAAGAGCCAATTTATTTGAAATCTGCCTGTGCTGGTGGCCAGGTGTTTGGGTTGGGGACAAATCATACATATGTGATAAAGTAATGCACGCTACTGGCTTAAAGGGCCACTCCACCCATTTCACACTAGGTTCTGTCACTTATCACAGCCTGTGATGTACGTATACTGTACGTCCTGTGGGATGCTGGACTAGTTTTGCCAAGTCTGATAAAACAAACCTGATGATGTCATCAAGGTTATTTTGACTTTTTCACAAAGCCTACATTTATCAGGCAGCGGGATCTAAGAAACGATGCTACTGGGCTGCATTATGGGAAATGTAGGTTTCTGTGATTTGACCATTCTTTTTAATATCCATCTCTTGTAATCCCATAACTTTATGGAGGTACAATGTTAAATTGCTGGAATATTCCTTTAATAGAGTGGACAAATATGGTAAAGTGGCTTATTTAGTAAAATTAAGTGAAATAATTGCATAATACCTTAAATTTGTTGCAGAGTCAAAGGCATAATAAATACACCTGACAAAATCAAAAATGTAAAATACATGAAAAACATGGCTGACTCTAATGCATTTGGTTGGGGTGCTAATGGGACAGTAAGGCCTGCGTTTTGTTTTTGACTGAGCCTGTGTGATTCTCCTGCAGGTTCAGCTAGATAGAGCTTTGTGTTTTGATAAAAGCGGTCCTCTCGCTGTGGCCATCCACTTCCTCGCTGTCTGATTCAGACTCGTAGGCAATCATGTCCTCATCCCCCCACACGGTGGGGATCCCCTTGTAGCATATCCTTGCCTTCCTCTCCGGTCCTTGGCCGAAGCCAAAACCAAACCCCACCCGCTCCCCCCTTGTCTCTGAATACACAGAGGGCAGTTTGGTCCTCCAGCCTAAAGAAGCACCACCTGAGCGCATCTGCAGCAAGAGGAAGACCCCGACGAAGGCTACCAGGATGAAGGCACAGCTGAGCATGGCCACAGCAGCAGGCAGCCGAGTGGATGGAGCTATGCTGAGCCCCGGAGGTTCTTCGCCTTCCTTGGTATTGTCACCTGCTGCTGGGATCTCCCCCTGTGGCTGGGCTTCATCACCCTGGAGTCCCCCAGCTAGAGGGGATTTTCTCTGGACTTGGTTCTGGTGCAGGCAGGAGGTGAGGACCAGGTGGCTGTGAGGTGGGCAGGACAGGCAGTCTGTAGGTCCGGTGCCAGAGCAGGTGAGGCAGGCGGGGTTGCAGGGCAGGCAGGCTTGGACTGAGGACAAGTCGACCCAATTCTCCAGAGACAAGTTGAGGAGCTGCAGCCCTGAGGTGAAACCCGGTGGACACAACTTCACACAACCCTGGAGGAAGAGAGAGAAGCCGGGGCTGCACTCTGGATGGGAGATCACAGCGCAAGGCAGGTTAAGTCTCATACAAACCAACAAACAGTGAAACTGGTGTCAACAAATATCACACTTCTAAATAATAAACTACTTCATAGTTTCCTTGGAAAAAATAACTCCGGTGTACTCTTTAGAGCTGCAACAAACTATTTTCATTATTGATTAATCTGCTGATTATCAAGGTACTGCCATTAATCAAGTCATTGTTTGGTCTATTAAAGGCCAGAAAGCTGTGAAACTATGCCATCAATCTCCCAAGGCCCGAAGTGCTATCTTAAAATAGCTTTTTCCTTTGGTTGACTGATAATCTGAAACACCAACATATTTGTTTAATGTAAGGAAAAAGAAGCTGCAACCATCAAATGTTTGGAAAATGTTTGAAAGATGCAGATTATTGATTATCATAAGAGTGCGTTCTATAAGCAGATGTCCAAAAGATTTCCTTGAAAGAACTGCTAAAATCTTCATGACTGAAAAAAGTAGGGCCCAGTAAACCCATGTAAATATCCATTTATTTGTTAGAAACCTTATTCTTTGTAGTTGTTGAACTGTATGCCTGTCTGCACGGTGTTACATTAATTTATAACCACACAGGCAAAACAGTTAATTTGTTAAAAGGCCACAAGCGGTGAATGTAGTTATAGCAATTTAACATTATGTCCCTTTTCTCTATATAATTGCCTCCCTATTGCCAAGGCCTTTCTAGGAACATTCCAGCTCATTTCTAGGAGGTTATTGGAAAGCTAGGACTGGTAAAGGAAAGCCTCACCAATAACCATTGAAATGCAGATTTGAAGTGAATTATTGAAATGTCTGGAATGATTAAGAAGAAAGTGTCTGAAGGCTTGGAAGCGGAAAGAAGCTTCCGACCTCATCTGCCTTTCAGTGAGGCAGTCATCCTTTTCAGCAGTTGTTGACAACGTAGCACCTCTTGCGCTGACGCAGTTTTAATCTCCCCTGCTGCTCCTCCATACGTCCCACGCGCCGATCCAAACTAATGTGACATATGGCAATGTGCAAAATTGTGTGTAAACAGATGCACGAGAGGCTTGTAAATGGGCAATCTGTATTCACAACATTCGCTTTTCACAAGTTGAAACACCCGACACAGTCTGACCTAAAGCCTGTTTTGTAACAATGACAGCGCTAATACAAATGAACCCATTCAACATGAGTGGCTCTTGTTCAGTTTGTGTGATGATCTCACCGATACAGATCTGCTGAGCGTCAAAGGTCTTGCAGCTATTGTTGGATGGCCGAGGGAAGTCGGATGATGAGGGGTTTATTATGCTGGGTCCAGTGCCCCACAGGATGAGGGTGAACTGACCCAGTGTGCCTGCGGGGGGTGAGAGTAGGGGAGTATTCAAATGTGGGAGAGAAATCAATTTTGCACTTCTCAGTGAGGGAACAGTGTGAACTGGCTGAGAAGAGGATATACAGGTGGGAGGAGAGAAAACAAGTGATTGGAGCGGACAAAAAAAAAAAAGACAACACTGGAGGAGGATCAACACCACTGGAGGAAGAGATGTGCTCCCAGCTCGTTTCTCCTGCTGGTCTGAGTAAATAAAGCCACAGAAAAACTCTAGGACCCAATGAGTTAACTATTCCTGACAATATGCTGCCATTTACCTTTTGAAAGATTATGCAGCCTGATGGCTGGGAAAAAAAAAATCTCGTAGGTTTTGATAATCAGTAGGTTGTCTGCCGCTTTCTTGCCTAGCAGTTGTTAAGCTGTTAAGAGTGCTGCTCCCCTGGTACCGAAACTGGTACAAACTGTGTTTAAATAAGGAAATTGACAGAAAAAAGGAGAAGTGTAGAGCTGATGAGGGGGCAGTGAATACTGGCATGAATGCAGGTTTGATGTGGCCAGACTGGACAATGAATGATGATGAACGGGGTTTACCATAGTCACGTCCATTAGCTGCTACGTTTTCTATCTCCAGGGTCCATTCCCCTTGAGGATCCTCGTCCCATGAGTGGGTGGTCATGAAGGCCCAGTCGTTGAACCCCTCTGAGGAGAAGTCATTGGGCCTGAAAGAAAGAAAGATTGTGATTGTGTGATGTGATTGTATTTATTCTCTGTTGTATGCAGGAAGTGTTTTTCTCACAGAATATAGTTGTGGGAGTATTTATAAACACATTATGTGTGTCTGTGAGTGTGAAAGAGACACAGACAATGAGAGACTTATATAATGGCCTGGCTGTTGGTGTGTATAGTGGTGTGTTTTCCTGTGTACCTGGGGAACAGCAGGGTGGAGCGTGTACCCAGTGGGCTGATGAGATGAATGGCCAATTTCCCTCTCTGGTTGTGGGAGAGAGTGAGGCGAGCCTGTACGTGTTCCAGAGAGCTGACATACTCTGGTCGCCCCCAGCAGGCATCCACGCTCTTGCTGAAAAGCAGCTTGTTCCCGATATCTCTGCAGGTTTGACAAGTAAAGGGGAAAGTGGTTAATGTTGCGTGGCTGCAGAAATGGACACAGACAATAGAACTGTGCTGCAAATTTACGCAACCGTCTCTGCTCCAAGGAGAATGCAGTGACATCTATCAGGCGGAGCAACATTCTTGAACAGTAAGTGCTCATTATGAGGCAAAAACTAACTGCAGCTTACAGATGAGCACACACACAGTTCCAATCCACACCTCTAACCTTGGTTCAGTGAGCATGGTGTGAACACACTGGTGCTGTGGCCCCACTGTGGTCCAGTTTTGTGCCAGAGCTACCATAGCACCGGCATCCAAGAGCCCGTAACCGTATGAATGGCTCACTGTGATGGATGGATAAAGACAGACAGGTTGAAGGTTGGTGACACAGATACCACTGCAGAAAAAGCAATTAGGATCAATCAGGGCTCTACACAGTAAAACTATGGCATTATACAGTATATGTGCCTCATTCCTGAATGTGCCATGATACATGTAATTCAGAAATAGTGACTTAAAGTGTGAGCCTGTTAAAGATCAGAAATGACATTAAACTGAAACTGCATTAAGTTGTCAGAAATAATGTTTTGTTTATATTTATTGTCAATCATCTTTAAATATTATAAAAGAAGAAAAACGGGTATTAGGGTATTCATCAGAAATGCTCCTTTTCAACTCAGCCGGCTAGAGGGTGTGTCGGTGTCTGTGTCTGACTGACAGCAGCTGGCAGGCTGAGCCACAAGATGAAGAAGGAGAGGGATGAGGTAAACAAACTTGTGCTGTAGCTTACAAGTCATGGGCAGACAGTGTGCTGTCAGGACAGCATCTAAACAGGCAGGTACATTTGCATGCTGTCTAAAGTGCCGCGGCTCAGCAGCGAATCAGCCATCTAGCTAACATGTTAGCAGTGTGCTTCTCCCCACTGAAGGGTTGGCTGCTCTTTCAATAGACTTAAGATGGAGGAGAAAATATTACAGCAATGTAATGTGAAGTTCTCATCTATGTACGTATAGGGAAGCGTAACGATGCTGTGACAAACTCATGCAAAACTAGAGGGCGCTATCATGAAAGCAAAATATATCAAATATACAGTAGGTTTCTCCCTTTTGGACTCTAACACAGGACATGTGATTTCCCCAACAGGTATGTATGCTGTTGCAGAAATGCATTTAAATTTCAGTTGGATTGTAATGATTATAGTGCCATGGCTATGTAGCTGGCAATTATCAAGTCAGTCAGCTTAATTACCTACTGCTTATCTGGCAGAGGTTGGCAAGTTCCCCACTATGATAACTACAGTATGCAGGATTTCATAAAGGTACAGTAGGTATGTAACCAAAACTGTAAACTACTTACAGTACAGGGTACATATGGGTATGGTGGGTCTACCTATCTTTCTCCCGATGGTTCCCTACTTCTCTATTCACTGATAATCCTATTAGCAATCAGGTTGGAAACAAAACAGCCTAATCACAAATGACCAATACTGCCCCGATGTTTCGACTGGCTGAAATTGTGGCATACTGTAAAGTTCTTTCAGGGTGAGTGAGTGCTGTGTAGGAAAAGTACCCAAAGCTTTGGGAGAAGCAGCAGAGCAGAGAGTTGGAAACTGAGTGACAGAGGTTATTAATGTGTGTTTATGTGTATAATGGCAAACGGGCAAATACATTTACTGGGCACAGAATCAATTTCTGCTTTCTAAAATGGAATTAATCAGGACTGAGGCACAAATACAACACCATATAATACTGTATATGTTTGATTTGTACTGGCCAGTCTTCACCTCTGCGTCCCACTCCATTGGTCTTCCAGTCTCCGGCGCCGAGGTGTCCGGGCTGGGCCGTTCTGACCACCAGGTGCTGCATGTCCCTCCAGGTCAGGTTCATACTGCACAGACACAGGAAGGCAAGCAGAGTAACCGTATTGACTTTCTGTCATTTAACAGTTGGAGATATTTTCTGCATTATGCAGGTTATGAGATAAGACAGGTTTTGCTGACTTCAACTGTATGACACTACAGCAGAGGAAACGTGAGGAGCTATGAAAGAGGTCAGGAAACTGTGATGTGATACAGATGAGCATATACAGTGTGTATAGCCATATGTACATATACTATGATGTAAAGGAAGCACTGAGGGATATGTCAGTCAACCACAACAAAGGTATGTGCTCCCTTTATGGTTTTCACACAGTATAAAATACCAGTATTAAAGGTACACTACAGCCTACTGTGCTGAAAGGTCAGGGAACACAGTAAAACAGTGGATATAATTCCAGGGAGGACTGTGTCTACACCTCTCTGTAATGACGGCTTCTAATGAGGCCTGGGAGATGGGGTCAGTTACTGCACAGAAAAAGCACTGATTAAAAAAAAGTTTTTTAAAATATGGATTTTAAGAGGCACGGCAGAGAGGAATTCATTGGAAAAGCCTCAGAGTCACCAATAAGAACAAAACAGCTCTGTGGGTTAAGATAATCAAACCATGAATCACACTGCATACTGGGTGCAACACAAACAGAACCACGGAACTGCACTGTGGCGCATCACCTCTGCCACTCTCCGCATCAACATTCAACATCTCACATCCTCTCATGTGTTATTAATGAACAAGATCCTTCCCAACATCCACTCAATGTCACCTCAGCAATGAGCAAATGGGAGAAAATAATGAAACAGCATATAGCCATAACACTTGAATGAGTCCATCTCCCAATCTGATAAACTAGCTACCGTGTTATTACTAGCATCTGTCAGGACGGGTGCGGACCGGGGGTGGGGGGTGGTGGCTCATACGTAGTGTACATAGGTTAAACCTCAGTTCTGTCAGTCACTGCCCTTCTGTAACGGTACCAGAGTGTCAAGATAAACCTGGGACACCAAAGATGTGTACCTGGACTGAAACTGTGAGATAGTAGATTTGAACTGACACCTGCCAGCTAACTGCTAACATGAAAATGAGGAGAATTGTGCAGAGGAGAGGACTGCTGACTGATAAAAGGACCTAACACACATGAGATATGACTAAAGATAAAACCATAATGGAGAACACATTAGAGCTGCTGACAAAGACCTGAGAGTCTGATACCTGGAATCCAGAGAGAGAGAGAGAGAGAGACAAAGAGAGACACTGTTGAGTTGAAAATCTTCACTACCAGCCGTATAGGTACTCAGATGTCTGTGTGGGCTCCAGCTGCTGATTTGTCTCACTAATTAACTGATTCTCAAAAGCTTAATTTGCTGAAAAAAGAATTTCTCAGAGGGAATTTAGGTAAATTGAATTTGCAGTAAAATTAAATTTAAAAACTGTTTACTTTTATGATTTTCTAAGTACAAAAATAGCTGCGGTGGTTGTAGGAAGAAGGTGTGCTGCTCTCACTCACTTGGCCTCCAGAGCCAGTGCGATGATCCCAGCCGCCAGCGGGGCCGAAGCAGATGTCCCCGTGTGAGAGTCTGTGCATTTTTGCCTCAGGTCGGTGGTCACCTTGGAAACAGGAGACAAGAGAGTTGTGCACAGATACACAGACACTTAATGTGACATGTTTTGTTTCCCACTTCAGTATGAGTGAGGTTTCACAGTGAGAGAAGTTGATTGTTAAACAGGGGAGGGCCAGGGAAGATTTTTTGGGGCAGAGGGGGGTGGCAGCAGGTAGGTTCAGTCTCAGATCTGTAAATTGCTGCCAAAGGGTCACAGCCAGGACTGTGAATGTCAGCCAAATCAGCCCAGCCCTGTCGGGTGGTGAAAAGACAAAGTGTGTTAGCACTCTGGGTACACCTCTGCTCTCCGTCTCTGTCAGTGCCAGAAAGTTAATGAGGCCTGTCTGGGTCATGAGGAGGACACATCAAAAATGATAAAGATGCCAGAGGGCAAGGCGAGCTGTGAAGGTTAGGGACAAATTCTAGGTCTGCGATTCTTGGCCTGACAGATTGTGGCACTGAAGATCATTATCCGCAGAAAGATGTTAGCAGAGTAAACAAAGGGAGGACGGGCAGCTGCTCTGGTCAACTGTTAGATCTCAGAGTCAGACAAAACCACACAGAAACACTGAATTTTCATGTATTGATTTGCATTGATTTTAATATTTTTAAATTCAAGTTATCTGTCGAGTTATTTATCAAAAAAGTCCTAATATTTGCAGGTTCCAGCTTCCCCAGTGTGAGAGGTTTCTACTTTTATATTATACTAAGCTGAATATGTTTGAGCTTTTGGCTGTTCAGTCAAACAAACAACCTGACTGGCATCTTTGCTATATTATTTATGTTAAGATGAAGTGATCAATTGATTAAGTGAAACAATAATCCACAGATTAATCAGTAATGAAAATAATAGCTGGCTGCAGTCCTACACAGAATATATTTTAAAATAAGCTGTAACACAGTAGTACACAGTCCTGTAATGGCACATTTTGATAATTTAACTGAAACCTTGAGACGATACCAACACTGTGTCAAGCACAGTGCCTTGAGAGGCAATCAGTGAACTTTGTCATTTTTTTTGCCACACTGTGATAATGTGTTTATTTCTGCAAACAGCTCCATTTAGTTCTTTCTCTGTGTGAGAATAGAAGTTTATTTCCAACAAAGGCTTTTGATGGCCAAATCTGAGACCCTAAGAGATGACAAGTGACCAAATCTGTCCAGTAAATGAGCTACCTGTTAGTCCACAATGGATCAGTGTAAAAGCCTGCTCTGCTTGTAACCTGACAGCCTAGACACAAATCTACCAAACACTAAACACAACCCTTGACAAACATAAAAACTGGTTTTGGACAAAAGAAAACAGCTTGATCTCACTAATACAACAACTGTTAAAAGCCATAATACAAAGCCACTGTTGTATTTTAAAATGACTTCAATTTCACCCATTTGATGAGCTGTGTTTGCTTGCCTGCAGGATGCCTCTGGTGTATTCTGGGGGGAACGACAGATTTATGGTTATTTATGTTATTCTGTGTCCCTGAGGCAAGTCTTTTCTTCAGCTGACAAGCAGCTTGAAGGAAGCATGTGGCATCTCTTAATATTTGTCAGCTTTGCTCACTGCATGTTACACATCAGTCACTCAGACTTTGACAGTTTGATGCCTATTTTTGATTTGAGAGAGATTACACTCAAAAAGGGTTCATTGTGGATGCACCAGTATCAGCTTTTAGCCGACTGGTAGAGCCAGTGCAAAGAGATGTAGGGTTATTTTTGCAGTGGTGACATTTACAATGAGCTAACGATTTGAAGTATAAAAACAATCCTACACAAAATCCAAGATGCTTGAAGTGTGTGTGAGTGTAGACCCACTATTTGTTTCTCCCCGGGGTTTCCAGAGCTGAAGGTGGTAGCGAGGGTGGAAGAGCAGGGCTCGCTGTACCACGGCACGTTGCCGGACTGCGTGGTGCTGCTGATGGACAGGGTGTAAATGCTGTTGGTGTAGCCATCACAGTTACAGCTGTCCAGCTCCCGGCCACCGTTCCCCGAGGCCCACACAAAGATGGAGCCCAGTCCGTTGCGTCCCTGTGGTAGAGAAACAAAAAGTATTCAGATCCTTTCACTTTTTGCACACTTTACTGTGTTGTAGATTTAATGTTTTAGTCTTGTCCATCAATCATTTCTCAAAAACCCAAAGTGAAAACATCTGTCATTTGTTGCATTCATCCATCCCTCAGCTGTTGTTAGGTTGAAACATTCATTCTGCGATCCAGGCAACAACTGGTGGTCATATGCCAAGAATAGATGAGACATCTGAGACACTTATGTACAACACAGTGTATAAATATTTTAAGCATGAACTTTCTCCTGCAGTATGTAATGATCCATGTAGCCACAATATCTGGATTGCAGCCTCTGTATAAGGAGCTATACGATTTTAGAATCACTGTGTAAGGTAATTAGAATAGTCTAAATTCAGCATGTGGATGCCAAGTACCACCTGTAGAGTGTAGGAAAGAAGGGAGATAGGAAAGAGGTAGGAAGACAGGAGGGAATAGGGAGATAGGAGACAGGAAGGGTGTGAGAATGAATGGTTATGTTTCATGTATTTGTCTATATTAATGTTAATCTCACTCAAGCTTCCTGCCTGAAATGGGAACTCTCGAGTCCTGGTCCTTTTTAACATTTTCAGTTAGAGTGAGATGTAAATTTCATCCTAACAACTACACTCCTGGGAACACTCTTAATACTTGTACTTGGGTAAATGAGAGATTTAAGTTTTTGAAATAAATTTCTAAAAATGTTTCCACTTTGTCACTATAGGTTGCTGATTGCAGACTGATGGGGATAATGCCAAATGAATCCATTTAAAATTAAATCTGTGAAACAAAGTGTTCAAAAAGAGAAGGGGTCTGAATAGTTTCTAAAGCTGCTTTACCGTATGTACGTTCATATAGTTGTAATCCACACACGTTCAGAGATTAAAAAAAAAGAAAAAAGAGAGAAAGATTAACAACAGCTGTCTGAAATGTGAAAAATGGTTTGACAAAGACGTTTGTCGCACTGCTTAAGCACCTTGTCACTTATTAGCTGTCTTCTAGAAGCACTGAGCTACTGTAGACACAACTCTTAATAATACATCTTAATGTCAGGCAACTTATTACAGCAGAACATCAGATAACAAACAAAAGAAATGTAATTACCAGATCTGCTCATGCTGAATATGATTCAGCGGCCTATCAAATGACAATGCAGCGTCTGCTAGTGAGAGTGTATGCTCCTAAAATACACACACACACACACACACACACACCAAATGGGGCACACATTTGGCTCCTTTAGTCTGGACTGCCAACAGGAGGTGAGAAATCCCAGAGTGGTTTATGACTCAGATTAAACTTACACTTAACATTTTTAGCAAAGTGGCAAACGTTGCTCAGATTCGATACAAGACACGCAACCCATTTTATTTTATCTCAAGCTGAGTAGATTACTGTAACTCTTTATTTACTGAAATGCCCCAGAAATCGATGGAGCGCCTTCAGCTTGTACAAAACACAGCTTCCATTGTGCTCAAAAGATGCAGAAATTTTTGTGCACATTTATTTTTTCAATTTTGGTCTGGTCCCCTCTGGCCTTTAGAATTGATTTTCAAGTTTTGCTGCTTATTTTTTAAAGCAGGGGTTGCTTCCTTCTTCTTCCACTACTGCTGAGCTTCTTTCTCTCAGTATGTTGCATACTGTAGCCTGGGGTCTGCTGACCAGTGGATGCTGACTGTCCCTGGGGTCAGGCTGGAGACAGAGACAGAGGGTAACACTGCATCTGCTGTCAGGGCTCCACAGCTCTGAAACAGCGTCTGAATACAGAGCAACCTCAGCCGTCTTTTGTTAAAGTATTTTTTTAGGGCTTTAATTAGTTTTTCATTTGCTGTCATTTTATTATGCATTTCTTCTTGTAAACTATAAATGTAGAATTCATTATTTTTTCTTTGTTAGACCTTATCTTGCTGTCTTTGATCTGCTCTTCTGTGAAGCAGTTTTTGAGCGTTTTATGAAAAGTGACAAATAAATCAAGGTATTATTATTATTAGAATTTACACATAACTCAAATTTCCACTCAACATTCATCACACCCTGTCATTCAAAAGTTAATGTGTGAAAGCGGCAACGCAGACATTGTGAAGTTCAGAATAAAACTAAGATTTCTCTACCTACCTACTGAAGTAGGTGGAAAACATATTCATATTGATGAACAAAATAAGGAGCGAAGGGTTACATCTGGTTAAAGATAGAGATAAAATAAAGAGGAGGGACCTCACTTACATCCCACACACAGAAAGCTGGAATAATAAAACGGTTGACAGCAAGAAAAAATTTAATAAGGTGGAGAAAACAGATGTGCATTATTTCACCCACAGATGCACAAAACAACACAAAAAGGAACATGAGAAACATGAGTTTCCAATTTTGAGTGTTTGCTAACTACAGCGGTGTTTTGCTACTCCTTTTGTTAAAGCTTGTGTCTGTTCTGCTCGCTGGAATCTTTCAAAAACAAAAGTCCCGTCATTTGTCACAGTCTCTGCCTCCTTATCACTGCTGCTGCAATACTGTTTTCCCTGGTGTGGTTAATCTGAAAAATTAAGATCATTAGTGTACAAAGAGACCTCAATTGGACCTGAACACAGACTGTAAATATGCCTTTTCAGTGTTTTTAAAAGGATTTAATTTTCTTAATGGATTCCTAAATCTCCATCCCACAAATGGCCTCTGCTCATAAGCTGGGATATATATGCTTCTACTCTATCTACAGTATGATGCTGACAGAATCATATCAAATTTATGACCTGATGCAGCCTTTGCTGCAGGCTACAGAGGCCAGACAATAACACTTTAATGCCAAGGGTTATCTTGCTGCCAGGTGAACACCCGCTGAACCAAAAAGGGCCCACTGTGCTGCTGTCAGGAGCTCTTTCCTCGCTAACACATTGTGACATGCAGAGCACTTCCCATTTCAGAATGTGATATATGGAACATTCCCACAGAAAATGTGCAGTTCCATTCATTTATAAGCTGATTATTGTAGCCTTTGAGTCTCAGTGTTGATCTACATCAGTGACTGCTGCTGCTGATCAGTTATCATACAGATGTTTCACTGACTTCTTTTGATGCAGCAACGCCAACACATGAGAAATGATGACATTAGATAATATTAATAATTAGCACTCTTTAAAGTCTTTATTGTATCCAGCTGTGCAGCACTAATCACTGGGCAATTAAACTCACCTTGAGTTTGTCGTTTTCTACAGTCAGTCATCAGAGAGAAATGCTCTATTAAATATTAACACAGAATATAGAAAAATGTGCAGACCTTTTCTGAACTTGTATCAGGTAACAGGAAGGCTTAATGTTGCTGAGCAACAAACTCTATCATTCTCTTTTTGAAATGAGAGAAACGACTCCATATTTAGCTTCAAATGAGCAGTTGAACAGTTTGGGAAATATGCTTATTTGCCTTCGTGCTAAGAGCAAAGTGAGAAGATCAATATCACTGTTTGTACATCTGTAAATATGAAGCTGCAGCCAGCCCGTTAGCTTAGCTTAGCATGTGAAAACAGGAAAACAGCTAGTTCTATCCAAAGGTACAGCCCGCCTACCAGCACCTCTGAAACTCACACATTAACATGTTATATTGCATTTCAAAAATTAAAACTCACCTGGGACCAGCTGCACATTGATTATCAGCGTCTCTAGAAAAATTATTGTCCTGGTGTTGTACTGAAGTCTGTTGCCCCACTGATTTGAGTCCACCTATACCAGCGCCTACAGTTGTTACCTTCAACTGCTTAAAATCAATATCATCCCAACCAGTTATCTTTGCAAAAATATTGTATGTATCATCAGACTGTTGACGTTTGATAGTGACGGTGTAAATAAGAAACAGCAAAGATCCGAGTCCAGACTCTGCTCTGACTGACCTTGGTGATTCCCTGGAGGAACGCCTCCTTAGCCAGCTTGGCAGGGCCATCCAGCGACTTGCCGTCATCCTCTGGTCCCCAGCTGGCACTGTAAATGTGGATGTGCTGAGGGTTGAGGCTCAGAGAGTGGGCCTCCACCACATCTGTCACTTCCCCATCCAACATGCGAACTCCTGTAAAACAAATATGCAAGATTATCGAAACTATGTGGGTGTGAAAATTTGGGGAGAAAGTGCACATCATGTGTTTTAGCTCTGCATCTCTGCATGAGATGACTAGAAGAGAAAAGATTTCATCTTCATTCACCAAAAAAACAAACAAAACAAAACAAAGAAAATCAGAAAGGAGAAACAAAAAGCATCTTCAGACAATTCTAGTTTTAATGAGGAACTGTGAAAAGCTTCACCCACATATGCTGCTCTGACAAATACAAATACAGTTTCACCATTACATAAACAAAAACCCAGCTGATTGTTAAACCAACAAAGGCCATTTCCTGACCCCTCCAAAACACATATAGGGCAGGCAGACAAATCTAACAGACTGCAGAAAAGAAAAAGGCACACACAGAGATTTAAATGAGCTGAGAGTATACAGTGGTGTGTCCACAGGGTAGCTCCAAATGTCACCTTTCATCATACCTGTCTGAGCCTTTGAAGTGAGCAGCCTCAGATCACTCCTCTGAGCCTTAATGAACCACCCCCAAATAAGGTCCATTACTACGAGAGGACCACCCCCACCCCCCCAAACCTCAGATGCAATACTACAACTGACGACGTCCACATTAAGACATCAATAATCCATTCTAAACAACCCGGAGGCACAAACAGATGCCAGCGAGAAGCGGCCAAAGCAGTAATTAGTCTGCTGGTGTGGGGATTCTGGTTAACACAAGTCTGAATACTTAGTAGCCTGAAAAGACTTCACCGAGGTAAACAGGCAACGTAGAGCACAATGTTTGCTTGGTGATCATTATGCGTGGGCTGTATTTGCAGCAATAATCATAATCACTGTCGTAACAGTTCTCATCAACTTCCTGCAGCTCGCTGGTTCCTTATTAAGTCACTGCTGTGCAAGTTCCCTGCAGCTCCAGCAAGTCTGAAGTAGCAGGGAGTAACGCAGCTGTGAGTGCGTGTGTGTGTGTGTGTTTGTGCGTGTGTGAAACCTGAAAACAGGTACAGTAGGTGGCAGGAAGCACAGAACGAACTGAGCAGGATCAGTTAAGAGTTTTAGGCACATCACTAATCATTGTTCAGTATGGATACACACACCTAGACATCTCTGCAAACACGCCTGCTTGTGTTCACATATGCACACACACACACTCACCATGGGTACCAGGGAGCAAATCACAGCTGTTTATAAACAATCCACTGACCCCATGACGTGTACAAATTCACCGAGGGGTAATTCATGACAACAGGGCCAACGAGCGGTTCCGTCGGGAGAAGAATGGTAATGAAGACAAAGTCTAAGAATTATGAGTAACATCTGTGAACGGCACTGCACTGTGCTCCACAGGCTCTGCTGGGTCTTGTTGGCTGCTGTCGTGTCATTGACGGATTGTTTGGTGACAAAAGTTACTAAAAGCCTCTTCGGAATACTTTATCAAATGCAAATATTTTCAGGAGAGAAAAAAAAAAAAACATTTCAGACTTTGTGATCACAGGTTTTATTTAAATGATTCTCTCCATGCGTCCTCTTAATGCATAACTGCACTTGCTGACAGCTTGATTAGTATTTAAACAAGAGCCAGCCCTAAAATTGTTATTCTGACCAGATGATTTACACACCGCTAACAAGATGTCCACTCAGTTGTGAAGCCAGTTTTCTTGGCATCAACCCACACTAAATTTAGGTTCCCTCATCACAAAGAACTCCAAAAAAAAAAAGAAAAAAAAAATACCACACAAAATTTTACTTGCCTTTTATCTAATAAGTGGAAGAAAGATGGTGCCAAATGAAGGTGGGAAGAGTGATAATGTGTGCTGTTTTAAAAGAAGATCAGATTCACTCTGTGAATAAATATGAATTCTTCACATTTCTGAGGGACATGATCTCAATCATTTCTTGAAGATGAGTAATTTAACACTTGTTTGGTTCTTTACGGTATATTTTTATGTCACGCAAGATACAGTCCTAAAGTCATGCACACATTTTCAGAGGAAAACCTGCAGGAAATGACCAAAAGCTGTCCTACTCAGTAGCAACAGATCAATGGCAATTCAATGTGCACCTTACAGCACACTCTCACCCATGCATCTGAACAACAGGGAGTCCATCAGCTGGTATATACATATCCTATCTACCGGTAATTAAAATAATATTAAGCTCACCTCAGTTACTATTCTCTTTATTTTGAAACTAGTTTTAAATACAAATTCTGATGTTATGCTTGACTCACCTCCAATTTTAGCATTATAGGCCACACCTACACCACACACACCGTTGTTGGCTGCAGCAGCAACTTCTCCTGCACATCGAGTTCCATGTCTGGGAAGAGAGAAGAGTGAAAGAGAAAGTCTACAAAAGGAAAGTAGTGAGAACTAGAGTCACCGCTTCACGGTCGTATCCCTCCGCCAACCAGTCAAATTCCTGGGAATGGGACTGCTGGGAGGTCACTGTGAACTTGACCTTTGACCATCAAAATTTAACCAGTTCATGCTTGAAATCCAAGTGCACGTTTGTGCAAAATTTGAACAAGTTCCCTCGAGGCGTTCCTGAGACACCACATTCAGGAGAATGGGCCAGCCGGGCGACCCGAAAGCCTGCGCAGAGGCATAAAAAGAAGGGCTTTAAAGAAACAATTTATACATCAAGCAGGAACATTAAAACAAATCAGCTGAATACTTACAGTAAAAAGAAAGAGCTGTTGTTTGTAACACCATGAACTGTGCTTTTTTTTAATTAACAATACTGTTGCTAGAAATACTCCACAGTCAAGAGAGAAGCATAAACCCAATGGACCTTTGGTAACAATTGTTTTAGACTTATAACAGTAAGCACCACAAACTAAAATTCATTTAAATTGTTTTAAAATTCAAGTGAGAAGGTAAGTCAGTACTATTTAGATAGCACATATAGCACACAAAGAACAGCAGAAACGTGACTATTACAGTCCATTTACCATTTACAGAATAAGTTGTAAGTTGCACCAAGTGCTACAGGGAACAAAATCAATCAAAGACAGGAAAACAGCCTTCTGTTTTGAGAATATCAAGAGTTGGGGCACATTTAAGGTCATCATAGTGTTGGGTCCATCTTGGTGCAGCGTAGTAGCTGAATGCAGCATCACCCTGTTCGGTTCTGACCCAAGGTTCTACCAGCTGACCGCTTCCTCGAGATCTCAGAGCCCTGCTGGGTTTGGATTCTTTAAGGAGATGAGAAATGAATTCTGGCCCCACACCACTGAGTGATTTGTAAACTAGCAGTAGCACTTTAAGGTCTGTTCCATAGGTGAATGGCAGCCTGTGTAAGGATTTAACAACAGGAGTGATGTGCTCAGTTCTCCTGGTTCTTGGTAAAACTCTGGTAGCAGCGTTCTGAATGAGCTGAGGTTTTCTACAAGTCTTTCTGAAACAACCAGACAAAAGTTACAGTAATCCAGTATGTATGAATTTATCTAAAACTGGATGAGACCTCTAATGCTTGTTGTTTATTTGAGATGATAAACTGCTGATTTGGTTATGGCCTTGATGTGACTGCTGAAGCTGAGTGAGTTAAAACACCAAAGTCTCTAACTTGGGTTTTATAGCTCTGGAATTAAGCCAAGCAATAATTGTCATTCTTTCCCTCTTGTGTTCAAAACAATAATTTCTGTCTCGTCTTTATTTAACTGAAGGACATGTAATTACATCCAGGTATTTACTCACTAACCAATCTCAGAGGGAATCTAAGGGACCATAATCTATAAGAGTGTCTTACAGCAACACAAACAGCAATGACGTTTATGTCAAACGATTAGAAATACTGAGGACAGCAAACTGGATTTCTTTTCCACATAGCACAAAGTGTCAACAAGCAAATTCTGGAGTAAAAACTTCACTGCTCTGTACCTGCAGAGCCACAATCACACATAGGAGGAAATACAACTCATTATGTAGAGCATTAGAGTGTGTGCAGAGTGAAATTGCCACTTAAGGATAAGGTGAAAAAATGTCTGGCTTTTGTGCTTTTCCCCAGACGTCTCATTTGCACTTTAATGTTTAAAGGCCTTGGAAACATTTTGTAAATCAGCCTCTTATTGTGAGCAATGGGCTCCATCAATAACACAGCGTTTTCTGCAGTGTTCTCTAAACAAGAGTTTTGGCATTTTCAAATTAGGGATTTATGTAATTGTATTTTGGTCTTGGTTATATTGTAGTTATAGTATAAAGTCATAATTTTACAGTTGTAAAAAGGTGATATACTTCAGATTCCAGTTTAGCAACATTTTGTATCACAATCTGTTGACACCTGTGGGTGGCTTGCTTCTGTCACCAGCTCTGTCAATCAAATCTCATGAGAACACACCTACACAGACCCGAAGAAGGAGATTCGTAGAGATTTTGATTTCTGGGCTCCCAATAAACAGATTTTCAGTGAATGTAAAGTTATCCAATTTCCGTACTCCATCGGTGACTGGGTCTTCTATACAAGTTCACAGCATGTACGAGTTTTGAGATGTTCACACCTGAGAGAAACTATGAGAACACAGTGAATATACAGTGCAAACCCTCTTCTGTTAAACACAACAGAGGGCTCCTGACTTCCACTCAGTTTCTGAGAAAAACATTGGAAATCCTCTCCCCTGCTGTACAGCATACAGGGCTGCAGGATGCAGACTTTTCCAATTAAAAATGATTGAAGTGAAACCTTAGGATAAATAGAAAGTCCTGTTTAAAACTAACTCTACCTTGACAGTCACTGGCCGCAGGCAATCCAAATGAGTTATGATGTTATCGATGTACATGAATTATTCAGTGCCCTTCATTAATACTTTCAATCAGTTTTGAGTGTCAGAGAACAGATGGGTTCCCTATAGTGTTGTCTAGATGTCAAACACACCAAGCCTTCGCAAATGAAAACCACTACAACTCCAAAACTGCACCTCATCATCAGCTGATCCATGAGAAGGAAAAGTCCAAATTGAAACCTTTTGGTTTTGCTTCATTCCAGACAAAAAAGTAATAATTAGTGAATGAATTGAATTTGTTTCGTTAACTTCTGGGATTGAAGCGCTGTGATCAGGCAGTGAATAGATGTAACAGAATGAGCATTTGGCATTTAGCACAGGTCATTAAGATCGTCTCCTGATTACCGTGCAGAAATCTGATTAGGAGGCGCACAGTTTCACAGCCGTCTCTGGGATGTGCTGTGTGAATGTTATCAGAACAAAGCTCATTACAGCCACAGTATTGTTCCGAAAGAGTCAAAAATGACTTCCTTTTTGATCTTCCAACCTCCCTGATGATGAGGCAGAGGACAAAGTCATTTCACAGGGTCAGAGCACGGATACGCCTCCAGCTGGGATCTTGATTAGACTCTGTGTAGCTCTGTGATATATTACCCACCTGCTAATTCTCAGTTTTGTTCATTCATTCTAAGACATTCTAGCTGAGAATCACTGCTGTCTTCCATTTAATTTGTCTTCTGTCTCTTTTGCTCTTTTTTCTTTTTTACAAGCTTAGAATTTACAACATCAAGAACAAAACACAGAACAATAAAAGGATGGTGAGGAAAAAAAACCCAATGTCGCAGTTAGATCTGGCTTCTTAACAAATCTTGTAATACATGAGCTGAGCTGTCCATAACTACAAGAATTAAAGAAGCAGCCCCCCCGACAGGAGCTTATTTCTCCCTGACAGAAGGACCTAGGCACAACATATGGTAAGATATAAAACTCTGCAAATGCAATTAAAGTGTTATCATTGCTATCAAGGGGTTAAAATACACAGATTTACTGCTAACTAGCTCATTTCATATTGTAATAATGACAGCAGGTGACAGTGACTTGATGACTCCCTCAAGAACAATATATGTTCTGTACTCAGGGGTTAAACTGGGATTTACTGAGTGGGGAGTCCAGTTCTTCGCAGCGTTTACAAGGAGATAAATGGCAAAATGCAGCTTCAAATAATGTAACAAACTAATAAGCTTTAGAGAATGATCCAATTTTCAAATATAAAACAGTTGATTTATCTGATTATTAATGAAGTATACAGCTTGATGCATGATGTCTTAGTAAATCAGGTTCCAGCCGATCTCTGGACAGTGGGAAATCTCTGTCTACATGTGAAGTGGCAAGCGGAGCTTTTAGCAAGCACCTATTGTTTAATCAGAGCACTAAAGAGGCACAGACTTGCCCACTCATTACATTATAGCTCACCGCTGCGCATCAGACAAATGTCCGACCGATTGGCTCTAAAAGCTCGTCCACACAGATCAATCAGGGTATTATGTGCTGAAACACAGCGATGTGGGTGCTGAATTGTGACCATCAGTCATCAGTCAAAAAATTCTGTTCTGTTCTGCAAGTAACCAGACAAAAATATGACTCAGAGGATTTTTACATTGCTGGTTTGCTGCTAAACCTGAGCACAGATGCTACTCTGGACAGAACCGGCACAATTTAACCTACTATATTTTGAGATTTAATGTTCCTGATAACATAAAAGAAATGTAGATCTACAGTTGCAAGAAAAGGTAATGGCAGTGCTCGCAATTTCCTAGTTTTCTGCATAAATTGGTCATGAAATGTGATGTGATCTCAAGGCAGCATCAGCTGATGTGAACCATGCCTCACAAAAAAAGAGAGATCTCAATAATGCAATGCCTCTCAAAAAGAGATGTCAATAAAGACATGAAAGATCATGACTTTGTGTTGTATCAGCTGAGAAATATTGTTTTTTGATATTTGTGACTTTGGTGAAGATCAGATCACATTTCATGACCAATTTATACAGAAAACCAGAAAACTGCAAACAGTGCCATGACTTTTTCTTGCGACTGTATAGTCGAAGACATACAAGACACTAAGTGCTTCCTCTGCAAATTTAATCTAGCTGTGGGTCACTGCTCTGCTTTAATGTGAAGCCATTCAGTGAGGGTTTCAATTTTTGAGCTATTTTTCTTGATACTTAAAATGATAAACAATTTTAGGCACGTACTGAAGTGTAGCTACATATTAAAGCAATTTATATGTCACTTTTTCTTTTGCAGTGTTGGTATTTTTCTCATGGTGGAACAGTGCTGAGTAAACACAGAAGAAGCACTAATTTCAAGCAGGAATAGGTTCCTTCAGAATCTTTTAATACACAGACCACAGAGTCTGCAATTATCCACAGTGGCCAAAAACACACATAGTCAGCACCATGGCCAGATGGCTCAGCCCAGAATGCTACATGCCTACACTGTGAAAACATTTGCAGTTGAATTGCACTGCAAATAGCAATTTCAAGGGTCAACTGTCAATGGCTTTAATTTTAAAACAAAAAAAGTTTAGGTTCCCTTAA